TATTAACGATTACACTTTTAGAAAAATAAAACTTGTGCAGATTTCTCCTATGGATATAATTCAATACTCTCTTGCTCAGAACATAAAATTGCAATCCACTAAAACTTTCCTGGCATTGAGTTTGTCAGGGAATGAGCTCTGAAACCATGGTTCCTGTTAGCATCCTGGCCAGAGCACTGTAATTTTCATGTCTCCACTTGGCTTATTCTAAGTCTTTCAAAACAGGAAACATTTTTCTTTTATGTGCCTGAACTCCCCACCCCACCCCTCCTCCCCCATGCTTCTATTTTTCTTTTGGGGAATATGTATGCTGGTACTTTACTTGACTAGAAAACTATTCAAGCTAAAGCAGTGGGCACTGAAGCAAAGGATTTAAACTAGGCTTTCTATCACATTTATTTCAAATGCAGATTAGATGTAGCTATCTTATTATGTTACTATTAAATATATTATGTAGGTATTATGTATTAATATAAAATTATTATAATATATAGAGTATATTAGATGTAATTATTTAATCATAATGTATCCTTACGTATAGTGAAGTATTAAATATTCCTGGCAAATAACATAGAGTTTGATGATAAAGGAAAATTGGGGTCTTTTTAAAATAGAAAGTCAGCTATACATCTGGTGTATCTCTAAGTAGGAAAAGAAACAAGAAAAAAGAATGGAAATAAAAGGAATAGCAATGAGGTCTCACCAGAGCATTCTCTTCTCTGGGCTGAACAACCCCAGCTCCCTCCCCCTCAGCAAGCACACAGTAGAGGTGTTCCAGCCCTCTGATCATCCTCATGGCCCTCCTCTGGACTCACTCCAACAAATCCATGTCCTTCTTCCAAGGTCCCTCTGGATGACATCCCTTCCCTCCAGCATCTCCTGGGATGCAGTCAGTCAGCTTTCTGTTTGATGTAGTCAGGTGACAGACATGCCTTTGACTTGAATTCTTCAGAGTTCAGATATCCCAAGGCAGAAGACTAGAATATCCTGCTCTGGAAGGTTAGTGGGCTTGAGGCTTTTGCTTTACTTTTTAGTAAAGGCCAAGTGATGTAAAAGGAAAAGTTCAGACCAAAGAACATAAAATATGGTTCTTTCTATGACGATTTCCAGTACTGTTGACTCTGTTGTAGAAGTTATTTGACATACATGTACAGAATATAACTGTAAATACACTTTTCTACATGTCTCAGACTGTCTGCAGGTGGAGCTGAATTTGCATATTGAATCATGCACCAAAATAAAAAATCCAATGCACAAAAGTATGAACCCATTAAAATGGGCTTGACTCCCCTGTCCTGTGTAGAATAGCATAGAGTTCTGTATAAATCGAAGTACACATTTCTGTTTTTCTTCCTGAGAAAAAGCTAACAATTAACTTCTACAAGCCAACAGTAGCTGAATTTCATAGTTGGTACAATAAAAGCATTCTCCAAATTGTGAAATAGGACAGAATAATTCCAAATCTGCTTGGACAGTCAAGGTGTTGGTTTTTTTATTCTCTGCAGTATTAAGTTTGGCAACATCTTCTGCCTTTAGGATACTACTAACTACTAACAACATCTCTCCATCATGTCTTCTGGTCAGCACAAAAGCTGCAGACTGAAAATGAGTCTTTCACTCCCCAGCTTGCCTCATGAAAAGGGTCTGTAATACTGAGCTTAATCGTTTGCTCCTTTAAAAAAATAAATAAATATTTAGTCTCATCTTACATCTATTCCACTTATCCTGTTAGGCTCATTTACGCGGAGTACAGCAGCAAGCACAACATACACGTGCAGTTTTTCACTTGCTGCCTCACTCCTTAGCCTCTTTAAAGGCTCACACAGAGTTAAACTCCCAGAAATAAAGGACTTATTTAACAAAAATATGTAAAGATACAATCCAAGCAGAAGATACAATCTAATGAAACAAAAAATCCACAAAAACTACCAACAAACAACAAAACTGTCCCTCTGTCACAGTTTGAATCTGCTTGATAGAGGTGTGGCAGCAAGGAGTTGGGAGATAACAGCTGATGCAAAGATTGAAACACTGATAAGATGATTGGGAACAGACCCACAGCCAGCTGTTCATGTTCACATATGGAAAAATTTAGTTGAAACCAGACACAAGGGCCTGCTGTTCACTGACATGCTGGCCAGTTGGATACTTATAAATAAGTCCTTTTATTTTTATCTTGTCTTGCCTAGTCATTTGGATATTTTTATATATCAGAAGTATACTTGTTCATAGTCTATTAAAACTTATCTATTTTGGGTTTCAATGCTGTTTTGAACCTCCTTGTATGTGTTGGTGTAATGAAACAGTCTAGGCAGATATATTTTAAAGACTTGTGTATTTGGGTTCTTATCACTTTCTGCTCTTAAGTTTTATTGTGTTTATATTCCAAAATGTTGCCATTGAAATATTTTCCACCTTGTGTAAGTAACTATTTAAAATTACCCTATTTTTATAGCTCGAATAGGTGCAACATTATCTTTTAAATATTTATTTCTTTTTATATGTTTAAGTCCTGATTTGGCTCACTGTTTTACTCAGGTTTACATGACATCCGTTTACGAGATACACAATTTAGCCCTATTCTTAGGAAGGGGCAAAGTCTCAGTCTATCCAAAAATGGCCTGCTGTATTATCCCTTTTAAATTTTTTAAAAAGCATAGCAGCAAGACATCTAAATCAAAATGCTTTGGAGAAGAACACTAGAAAAATATATTTCCATCATTTTTTGTTTCATACCATATTATACTTTCTAAAAGCAGTGGAAAGTCAGTAGAAGCAAAAAAAAAAAAATCTCTTATGAAAATGTGATGTTTCTATTGCATCATTACTCAAGCTCACAAGTGACTAACATGCACAACAACAAGAATTGAGAAGATACAGACTTTTATCCCCTGGTTCTCAGCAGTCCAGAGATGACTAGTGACTAACTACCTTTTATATCTTTTAACCATTTGTTAATAAAATTATCCCCCAGTTTAATTCTTTGATAATTCAGTTGTGTTTTGCATTCAGTGATTCTAATAGATATTTAGTTGTAGGGTTTTGTTTGTTTGCTTGCTTTGGTTTGGTTGTCGTTTTTTGTTGTGTGTTTTTTTTTTTATTATTATTTGGTAATTCCAATAGGTGTAATATTTGCATAGGACTTTTAATCTTCCAAAGTATCTGCCATTTTATCATTAACATAAGTTGCTATAATTTTATTATTTTACCTTTCTGAACCCTTATCAAGGGATTGTTTAATATTCTGTACAGCAAAACTTGGTTTTATCTGCTGTTGTACATCTTTACACATCTAATTTTATCTATATTTGCTGTTTTCCATATAATCACAATTGTTCAGCAGTAGAGTACTTCTATTCTCAGTTAGCTTCATTAATAAGTATGGAGAGGGATACCTCTTCCTATGTAATTCTAGGCATATAAGGTTAGGGTATCTTGTTTTTTCTGAAGAAGGAGTGTTACTGACATTTACTAGCTTCTAGAGAAAGCAATACATATAGGACCAGTGGACTTTTATGTCGCTTTTATTTGGATGAATTAGTTAAATGGATGTATGATAGTCATTGCCTTCTCCACCATTTTGTTGTCTTCTACTTTGAGGGATGAGCAGTTGTTGAAATTTTTGTTAAAGTTGTAAACTGTTTATATAAAAAAGTGACATATTTTGATGTTACAATATTCAAACCCCAATTTATGTATCTTTTTTCATTGTTTTCTCATAGTGTTTTTGTGTACTTCTTGAAATTAATAAATAATTATGTTTGTGTTTGTGGTGGTTTTACTCAGGTGGGCAGCCAAGCTCCACCACAACCGCTCTCTCACTCACCCTCTCCTCAGAAGGAGGGGGAGAAAATACAACACAGAGAACTCGAGGTTTGAGATGAGAAAGGTTTAATTAAAGGGAAAGGGAATGGGAAGGAGAAACAGATACAAAAGAAACAATCAGTCCGCGCGGAAGCACAGAGAGAGAGAAAAAAATTATTCTCTACTTCCCATCAGCGAGCGGTGTTCGGCCACGTCCTGGGAAGCAGGGCCTCAAACGCGTAGTGGTTGTTCAGGAGGAACAGCCCCCTCCCCCACGAGAGCCCTCCCTTTTTATTGCTGAGTGTGACATCAGGTGTTATGGAATATCCCTTTGGTTGGTTTAGGTCAGCTGCCCCGGCAATGTCCCCTCCCCATCACTTGCCCACCCCCAGCCTGCTGGCTCTTGGGGGCTTGGAAGGAGTCCTGATGCTGTGCCAGCACTACGCAGCAATAGACACAACACTGGAGTGATATCAGTGCTGTTCCAGCTACGAGTGCAGAGCACAGCACTGTGCGGGCTGCTGCAGGGAAAAGGTGACTCCAGCTCAGACAGACCCAACACAGTGTTATAAATCTGGAGCTACAGGAGTTTCTAATTACCTACTACTTGAAACTCTGCCTCTAAATCCTGTATCTGGTTCTTGCTCTAGTTGGACAAGTATTGGTATGAAGAGTCCTGTCAATGTGGAAGATAAATACGTTTGGTTAGTTACCTTTCCAGGACTAAGTTGCCAGCCACTGACTTTCAAAATCCATACAAAAATGAGGTTGGAAGCTTTTTGTGAGAAACAGGACATCAAGTTTCTTGGACTGGCACCATAATTACTTGACTCCAAGGAAGACCTACATTGTCATGCAGATGCAAAGAGGCCCATAACTGAAGTTATTGCTCACTACACTAACGCTCTCCAATAGTAGATGAAACCTTAATATTACAAGAGAAATCTTTTTATTATTTTTCACATAGATATTAGACTAAGATTTATTTCCCATACACTATAAACAATGCTGATGATCCTGTTTTCAGTCCAAACAGGAGTTGTGTGTCCAGTGTTTTTTTTGTTTGTGTTCCATGAATTTTGGTCTGTCACTTGTAAGATGTGGTCAAAGTACTCAGGAGGACAGTTCAGAATAAACCCAGTTCTTTTGCCAAATCCATGAAAAATTTTCCTTTTTCTTTCTTTCCATTTGAATAGGAAGACAGCTGCCTTCAGATGATACAGAATTCACTGACAGTTGCTCTTGCTCCAATCCTGCTTCATGAGAACTTCAGAAGATACTAACTGAGGTATTTATTTGTTCTTTTTAGAATTTCTACTTTGCAGATATTTGATAGGTAAAAGAACAGACAAAAGTCATCAGGAATATAGACCAAGAGGAGTAATCAGACAGGGAAAATAGCACAGAAGTTCTGTCTATAAAGAGCTACAGTGTCATGTAATCCAATCTCTTTCTATAGCTGGGCACTATGTTAAGATATACACGTATATACATATAAATTAAGAAATCAGTTAATTACAGATATGCCAAAAGGAAACCTATTAAAGTGCAGTTAAAATGTTGCTTTTGTTTTGGTCTTCTATCCAATTTTATGTGGTCTTATCTCCAAGAATGGACAAATAGTTTTGCAAGAAATTGCTGGATGTGAATGCCCGATCACCTAAACAGTGCCTGTCTTGAATCTTTCAAAAGCATCTGACATTTATAGGTTTCTTCCTCTCGTACTGACATGGATTTTCAATTAAAGAGAAGCTTTTTTGTTAACACAATATCCAAATGTTTTCATCCCATTTTTCATAAATCCACGAGTTTAAATATAAAAGCTATTTTAAAGATGTTTATAAATATTTCATTATGACAACTATTTTTCTTTTTTTGTCAGATACCAGTGAATTAATTCATTTGTACAGAAAAGAACTACTCCATTTGTGTATATAAACAATCTGATAAAGTATTAAAGGCCACAGAATTCATAAAAGAAAAAAAATACCCTGTAAGCCTGTGATCAGTTGGATTTGTATCAGTCCTAAATTTATGATCTGCAGCTGTTGAATGTCTGATAGGAGCTTCATCTTTTAGAGCATGATAACAGTATGAGTGCAGTGCTAGAAAAACAAGGAAACATTCTGCTTTGAGAAATAAAATTGTGCAGCCATATGGATGATGATTACAATGCCTCACATAGCAGACATCTACTGGACTTTTATTCAGTAAATCTTACAAATGTATGTTTTAATGGTTTTTAAACTGCAGACAGTTACCAGCATAGATTCTAAAGTATCATAGGTTGAACAGACAGGCTGTGGTTCAGTGTTTCTGTAGTCAGTTTTGTAATCAGTACAGGGCTGAAATTGTTTTATGCATTTGAAAACTCAAAGCTTAAATGACACGGAAGAAAGATGGCTCATAATTTCTAAAGATCATCTTAAAACATCTCATATATGAAACTTCTTTTTGTTTGTTTGTTTTATAAGGCTCTTGGTATTTATATACATCTTTCTTAAATACCAAGAGTAGCTTAACTTTTGGGGAAGGTTAATAATTGTTAATGTAATTGTTATATAAAATTCATATGTACTATTATAACTATGTTATAATCTATGTATTTGCTTTTTGAAAGAAACTCTATATACCAGTCAGTAGAATAATGGTTAGAATACCATTAGTATTAAAATTAGCATTTATCAAAAAATGACTTAAAATTTGGTTGGATATTACACATGGATTCAGAAAAGACAACAGAAGTCCTTTTGTTTCTAATTTTTTATTTTGTGCTCTTAACAGCTATGCTAATAGTATTTACATTGAAATTCTGTGAAGTGCTGCATATTCTTAGATTTTAATAAAGCAGTTGGATTTTTTGATAAAACAGGTTGTGCCATTTTAGTATGCATTATGAATTGGTTCTATCTTATAGTGGGACAGTTCATTTCTAGAGTCAGCACACAACCATTTTAGCAGTAGAATTGGCTGCTTATGTCACAGATTAAAATTAGCTGTGTCTGTATGCCAGAGCAACAGGATGGAATGTAAAACACAGCCAAACATGTGAGCAAATTTTCTTCCAGTGATATTTGGCCAGGACTAAAATATCTTCCACTCCAGATTTGCAAGTAGTGGAAAAGTTAGACAATTCTCTCTTGGGAAGGGTCTGATTGTAGTTTATTCAGAAGTCCACATTCTTTCAGATCTCTAAAGTAAGTAACATATTTTTAGATTTCTTTTTATTCCATATTAAAATGTTAGCATATTAATGATCAGATTGTTTTTGATTTGGTCTTTGCTTAACCTATGGATATTTTGAACTTTGCTCGGATCTGATTTTCTGCCTTTTTCTGTCCTCAATTAAGGATCACGTTGCTGCTAATACGATCCTTTTTAGGACCTAAATTGAAGTTTTAATTTTTATATAGTTATAGTTTTAGATTCTGTTAATTTAAGTATGTTTGTTTTAACACTTAGAGGTGGTATTAAGTGGCAAAGTATAAACTTGCACTTGTGTAATATTAAGAAGCTAACTTTTAGTACTTTTTAAATTTGGTACAATATCATATGAGTACACAGAGATACTGTTATATAGAGAGAGATCTGATTTGCAGAAGTACATATCTGATGTCTGTAGTTTGAAGTTTTTATTCGTTTATCACATACTGAAAGTCAAATTCTGTAAAGATTGGATTTCTTGCTTCTGCTGAACACTTCTTTTTGGCATGACAATGTGATACTAAACTTCTGTCTGAGGAACTGTTATCAAAATGAATTATAACTTCTTTGGATGTGAATCTAGCTTACTTGCATTCATAAGTAGTGTAAAACTGCGTATACAGAACTCCTTTTACAGGTTTGTAGTCTCCTTGAATTCAAATATACTTTCTCTTGGATAATTTCACTGACTGCAAGAAAATGGCTAGGTAAATATCAGTGGGTTAGTGACATATTATCAAATGATTTAGTGGAAGATACTTGGTGTGTCTCTGTCAGGCGCTAGCACTGAATCATGCATCAGAATGAACGTTGTTACTACCAAAGTGTAGGAATGTGATTTGACTGCATCAACACCAGTCAGCTAACCTCCTTTTACAGAGAGGGAGTAAAACCATGGGAGGTTTTGCCAAATCTAAAATACATTCTTGAGGAGGTGACGGATCATGTACTAGCCTCTCCATTTTCCATGGAGGGGGCCTAGGTAGGTCTGTCTGATAGCTATGATTAGTAAGGTGAATTCTGGTCTGCATAGCTACATCCAAATGGGTGAACCATAGTTTGAGATCTTTGTAGTTTTTGGTTGCAGTGCAGAGTCAGCACTGATGCTACCTCGGCTAAGCTGCATGTCTGTTTCTCATCTAAATAAATGTGATACACACATATTAGATACAGACCTCCTTTTGATTACATAATGAGAAACAAATGATCCTGATACACCACCAGGGTGTAAAAACAACTGCATAGAATACAATTAAAAATAAAAGACACCAAATTTGTATGTCTCTGTGGCGCAATGGGTTAGCGCGTTCGGCTGTTAACCGAAAGGTTGGTGGTTCGAGCCCACCCAGGGACGGGCAGCAAGCTTTCTGGTCGTGATCTTATGGAATATGGGCCTGGAAAACAGCAAACTCATGACCCTCAACTTTAGGAGAGCCAAATTCCAGCTCTTTTCAGTTCTCTGAATCAGGGAACTGATCAGATCTTGGAGGACACTTTTCTTAGAGCACAACAGCTCTCCATCCCTGTGTCTAAGAAATCAAGCAAGGCAAGGCAGGAAAACGGCACAGCTCAGCAAGGGACCTGATGGGCAAATGTAAGAGAGAAATGCACAGGGAATGGAACTGGGGATATGGGCCTTCGGAAGAGCACAGGGATGCTGTCCACATGTGCAGGGATGGGATCAATCAAATCAGGAGAGCCAAGGCACAGATGGAACTGAGTTTGGCAAGGGATGCAAAGAATAAAAACAAGAGCTTCTAGAGGTACATTGCTCAGAAAAGAAAGGCCAAGGAGAGCATTTGCCATGGATAAACAAGAAGGGAGAACTGGTAAGGACAGACATAGAGAAAGTTGAGTTACTCAACAGGTTCTTTGCTGCAGTCTCCACTGTCAGTCAGGCTTCCCACAGCTCTCAAGTCCCTGAACCTCTGGGCAGGGGCTTGGGGCAGCAAAGTCCCTCCCACTGTAAGCGAAGAGCAGGTTTGAGACCAGCTGATGGAACTGAACAGGTACAAGTCTATGTGGTCCAAAGCTGTGCATCCCAGGGTCCCCAGAGAGCTGACTGATGGAGGTGCCAAGCCTCTCTCCATCATGTCCTGACGTCAGAGTCATGTGAAGTCCCCGGTGACTGGAAAAAGGAAAACATCACTACAGTTTTAAAAAGGGTGGCAAGGAGGGACCCAGGGAACTACAGACCAGTGAGCCTCACCTCTATGCCTGGAAAGATTGTAGTATCATAACATCACAGTATGGTTTGAAATAGACCTTAAAGACCATCTAATCCCAATGGCCCTGCCATGGGCAGTGACACCTCCCATCAGACCAGGTTACCCAAAGCTCCATCCAGCCTGGCCTTGAACACCTCCAGGGATGGTGCATCCACAGCTTCTCTGGATGTATAATCATAAGGATCCAATAACAGAAGATAAAATACTGAAATAAGTTTGTAATTACACAAATATGTGTGGCCGTACTTAATATTCTTCATGCAAAAAAAATATTCTTATTAATGGGAAAACAGTTTTGGAAGAACAGTTGAAAGGAAAGGAAAGGAAAAAAAATTGATAAATTGTATCATACAAACCCAAGCCTCTGCCAAAATTCAGAGAATAATTTTCTGGTCATATAAGTTTCTCAAAATTGATTGTCTTAGATGTTTAATGAGGTTACTGGTGGTTTTCCATAACAGGGACATTTACAAGGTATTTCCTAATGCAGGTGTTCTGATAATTAATAAGTGTCTTCTTGTCCACTGCATTCTCTTAGTGGAGACTTTAATGGGCTTTATTCTACTGTTTTAAGTTTCATTTTCATGAAGCTTGTAGCAATGTGTGATTACATCCTAAATTTTTCAATGATTCTAATGTCTTTTGGGAAATACATATTATTATTATTATTATTATTATTATTATTATTATTATTATTATTATTGATATTGATATTGTTATTATTATGTACTGGTCTTGATTACTCCTCTCACTGTCTTAATAGTTGATGCAATCTGCAATGTTTTAGATTTCAAGTTTGTTTCAGTACATGGAGGGCATCACAGTTTATCCAAATAAGATAAGTCATCGGATATTG